AAGAGTATTGGTAATTATTTAGGCTTCTAAAGTAGCTTCGACGCTGCTCCCGGCTCGCACGAACTGAGAGCCCGAAAGCCAAAGACTCCCGAAAGTTGGAGCTTCTTCAAGAGCAGATGGACACTCTTGGAGTTTGGGGTTTGGGGGTTTAAGGGTTTTAGGGCTTAAGGGTTTAAGGGTTTAGGGGTTTAAGGGTTTCAGGGTTAAGGGTTAAGGGTTTAAGGGGTTAGGGTTCTCAGTTCGTGTGCGCCGGGAGTAGCCTCGAAGCTACTATCTATAGAAGCCTAAACAATTACCAATACTATTTGGGGGGGTTCCTTATTATAGTTATAGTACAATGAGCTCTAAGACCCTATTGAAACTGTTAAGGCCCCTATATTAAGCGTTTGTATACAGAGCGCGGTCGAAGTTGATGGTCTCGAAGCTCGCGGGGTTCATCTGGTGCGAAACTCGCAGCCGTACGTTTCGAGGCTTGCGCCATCCTAAACCCTATAAACCCTATAAGCCCGCCCTAAACCCTAATCCCCAAACGCTAATCCCTAAACCCTAAGCCCGAAATTCTACTAAACCCTACGGTTGGGCTGGAGTCTCAACAGTGCCACAGTGGCATGTAGAATTGCAGCTTTGGGCCATGTGCCCCAACACAAATCTGAGCCTATCACCCCTGAATCCGACAATTGCGGGACCCTTAAGGCTCAATCTACCCATAGGCCCCGTAGTAGTTCCTTTTTGGGATTACCGAATAGGATGTTTTGATCCTCAATATAAGCCACAAAAAGGAACTACTATGGGGCCCATGGGTATTCCCCCACTGCTTGAGGTCAGAAACTAAAGCGCAGCAAGTACAGCAAGCAATGCTCTCGTTCTAGAACTACTGAAGCCCTAGAATACGTCATGAATCGCGTAAAAAAACCTGCTGAAACCCCATAGACACCTTATTCTCAATTACGTCTGGGCGGCTACTACATCCCCATAACCCTATGGCATTCATCGGACGAGGATGCCTCAATGCCTTCCTCCGACGGGTCAAAGCCATATTGCGCGATGATCTCCTGCGATGCGGTTGAGGGACTAACATGTTGTCGTTTGGGGCCCTGAAAAATTCTTATTAATGAATATGTACCTCTCGTCAGGGACCTAAAGATACCCGAAGTGCCACCTAGTTAAGGTTGCAGTATCAATCCACAGACTCCACAAAGCTCTTGATGCTAAAAGGTGTCAACGGCATACTACTGGCCAAGTTGATGGGTGGGAATCAATATGCAAAATTGAAAGCTCCACCGAACACGCAGCGAAACCTAGCGGGTGACATTTATTGCAGGTGCACGGGCTTGAAGGCAGACGTATACAATGTGGGAGCCAATTAACTCAACAAACAACGATAACAACATAGATCACTTGATGTGTTTGCATACATACATGCATCCACACATACATACAGACATGCATGCATACAAGCATACACAGATACATGTGCTTGGAACAAGGCACGATTGAACAAAATCAACATGCAAGTCGAGCTCAGCCCAAAACGTTGCCTAATGTAGGGGCCGTAATAATTAGAATAGGGCTTTGGGGGAATATATACTATAAGTATAATAATAAGGAACCCCCAAAATAATATAGGGAATTATTATAAGGCCCCTATATTATACTTTTTTGAATCGCCCAAGGTCCCGCTGGGGCTTCCGCATGATCTTCCTCGGGACGGTTTGAGCTGATGGCGCTTCGTGGACTTATGGGTCTAAGGTTTGGAGGTTTAGGGTTTAGGGCTTAAGGTTTGGAGGTTTAGGGTTTAGGGTTTAGGGTTTGGAGGTTTAGGGTTTAGGGTTTAAGGTTTGGAGGTTTAGGGCTTAGGGTTTGGAGGTTCGCGCTTTGGGTTTCGGCATGCTTCGGCTTCGCATTTGGAGTTGTAGAGGGCCGAAGGCGTGAAGTTGTGGCCTGCTGCAGTGAGATGTCTTTATCTTATAACCCATCCAAACCAGAGTTTGGCCGGCATAGGGCAATCAATGGCATGACCTTTTTCAACGGAATCGAATCCGAAAATATGCAGAAAAACCTCACTTTGCAAGCAACTTGACACACGGGTAAACCCTAAACCCTAAACCCTAAACCTTACAAAATAGGCCCAGGCCAACCCTTGTCCCTGGACCGCCTCCAGTCTGAATCCCAAGCCATGTCACAGTGACCGGCCGCAGGCTGCTGCCATGTGTTGCCCCGGATAGCCACGGTTTAGGGTTTAGGGTTTAGGGTTTATGAGCGCAGACCCATAAGCTCACTTTGCCTATAAAGCATACCCATAAGCCCTAAAGTAGTTCCTTTTTGGGGTTCATATATAGAATCCTGTAAGGTAACCCCAAAAAGGAACTACTATGGGGCCTATGGGTAATCGAACCGTTTATAGTAGCATGCACAGCCTGACCTCAACCCTGCATTGCGAACACCGAGAATCCGCAGGCTCTTGTGGAAGTCGCTGCTGTCCTTGTCAGCGTCTTTCCTGGTGAGGTAGGGAAGGCGGGTAGGCCCAAGGGTTATATAAGCAAGTTAGAAGGTACATGGCTTTAACTACAATAAACAATATAGTTGTAGCTTCACCCCCAAAACCCCTAAATGTGGGCGTACTGCAGTGTCAGGTTTTTGGTTCTAGCGGGCTCGGCTTGGGTTCGTTGGGTGACAGTCGGATCAACATATTCTGCCGTTTAGGGTTTAGGGGTTTAGTTGGGGGTTTAGGGTTTAGGGTGCCAGCCAGCGACTGCAGTAGTTGGTTTCTGGGCTATCCATGCCAGACACTGGGCAAAGAATGAACCGGACATCAGACCTAACTCCAACCAGAAAAACAAGACCTAAACCCTAAACCTTAAAGGCTACAAGCCTCTTGGCAAATCCTAGTTAGGCCAGCATGGTAAGGAGCCCCAAGGAATAACATTGCTGATTGCTTCGGCCCCTACATTACAATTAAGGATTTCTATTCAAAAAAACTTGCTCTAGACCTCTAACAAACAGGACCCGTAACTTCAGCAAGCAAACAAACAAAGATCACTACACCATGCCCAAGTAGTAGGAACCATAAGAGCTTAGGATCTAGGGTAGGATCATTAAAGAGGAAATGAAAGGTTTATAGGGTTTACCCATAGGCCCCATAGTAGTTCCTTTTTGGGATTCCCTAATAGCATCCTCAATATCAGCCACAAAAAGAAGAACTACTATGGGGCCTACGGGCAGGGCCTACTTTCATAAGAAATCCCACAGGCCCATGCAGGCCCTGCAAGGCCCAAAGGGCGCGGGCCTGATCAGTGCCTGCAACTTCTTCTGGAACCGTGCCGAGCTAAACGCACCAAGCCTCAAGCAGACTTTGTGAAGTTCGGCGTTTTAGGCTTGAGGCTTGAAGGTGTAAGGGCTAGTTCTTGGCAAATTACTTCAAATTGTTGCTGATAGTTTTTGCCATGGTTCTTGTTGCTGTTGGGGCTGTTGCCAGTATCATTCTCAAGGTCAGGGTCTGTCTCAAGTCCCGGACGAGCTTGGTTTGCGCGCCTGGACGCCCAAGGGATCCATGACCAGCCCAGATCTTAAAGCATGCTTGATTCTGCAGCAGGGGTTAACATAAGGGTTCGAAAGGGGTTTAGGGCTAACATAAGGGCTTTAGGGTGTATTTAGGGTTTAATGGTTTGGGGTTTAGGGTTTCAGTACTCACACTCGGACAAGCCTGGGTGAGGTTACTGGCACGAGGCGAAGAGCTGACTGGCCCCGGGCTAGCGCATTCACTAGCGAACCTTAACCCTTACCTTAGGGTTTAGGGTTCAGGGTTTTGGGTCTACTATGAAGGTTAACAGGGTTTTTTGTTTGGGGTACTTGTGCATGGGTTGGGCGTAGCTGGGGCCGTTTTGGTCCGTCAGGAAGTGCTGCGAACAGAAGTCTGGCCGCACGATCACCAACATCATCAGCATTGCTCCCGCTACTCTGTTCACTCTTATTGTGGCTCTTCTTGCCCTGTGCTCTGGAGCCCTCAACCGACAAATCCTCAATCTGAGTCAGAAATTTTGAAATCCCAACACCCGAATCGGAAAAGAAAACAAAAGCGCTAAAGTCCCAAAACATTCAGCCCATACACCAAACCGGACAGACCATGAACTCAAACGGCCGGCCAAACGCCCTTTCAGAAACACCAGACTACAAACTTCATCACCACTTAAAGAATCATGATACTTAGTAAGTACAGGGTTATAATTAGGGTAACTATACTTATAACCCCAATTAAGGAACTTATAACCTTACTTTCTAAGCCCCTTTTTCAGCATGGGCTTGGATTGTGTGCCAGCGATAGAAAGCCCCTAAACCCTAAACCGTCTCTCTTTGCAGGAGGTGCTGGGAGAGCTCATAACCTTACTTACTAAGTCCCATGATCCTCCACTGACGCCCTCTTGCAGCTTGCTTGCCTCTTCGCCCGGGAGCTCCCTCTGCCCAGAAAAAACCCTTAACCTTAACCCTAAACCTTAGGGTTTAGGGTTTAGGGGTTTAGGGGTTTAGGGTTTATGGTTTAGGGTTTAGGGGTTTAGGGTTTAGAGGTTTAGGGTTTAGGGTCAATCCAGCAGCCCAGTACCCTGCAGTGAAAAAGAAGCCGTAAAGCCTACCCCGGATACTTGGAGGATCATGGGACTTAGTAAGTAAGGTTATAAGTCCCTTAATCGGGGTTGTAAGTATAGTTACCTTACTTTTAACCCTACTTACTAAGTCCCATGATCCTTTAAGTAGGCGAGAGGCAGCTCCACTTGCAGTGCTAGGGCGCGCTGCTTCGTAAGGCGACAGGACCTGTCTTGCAACGTGGCTCGGGTTGGAGACCAGTACTATAGAAGCCTAAAAAACTAAGAATATTACTCCCTGTTTGTAGGGGCTGAGTACCCTAGCCCAAGATGGGTTAACCTTTTGAATTATTGTAGGGTTATAAGAGCCCCAAAAGGTTAAAGCTTACCTACTCAGCCACTAAGTGTTTGTCCCTGTATGCGGAATTAAAGTGTGCTATACACGAACAGCCAACCCTCTTCAAGGCATTCAGAACCCTACAACCCAGACCACCGGGAGGATCTAAAAAGTAGATCCCCCAATTTGGGGCCCTAACTACTAAAGGGTACTTTATAGGAACCCAATTGGGGGAATTGCAGGAGTCTGAGAGCTGGCGCAAACAGCAAGGATGCAAGTGCTACTGTAAAGAAAGCGTAGGAAACAGCAGTATTGGGAGAAGGACCCCTATAAAGGAGGACCCCACAAGTTCATTAAATCCACATGGCGTAATAAGCCCCTGTCCCTTCATATGGCTAGTTTTGTTTAAGTAGGTCCCCAATATAGTACGGCACCCTTATTATAAACAGGACCCCAAAGGGGACCCGAATAAAGAGAGCTACCCGTATGCGTCATAATGGTGATCCTAATCCTGGCGAGTTTAAAGACAGTGGGTTCCTCAATCAGGGGTCTACATTCTGTGGTAGACTCTAGTAGCCTGAAGCCGAAACCGAAAACCCTCCCTAAACCCTCTAACTAAGGGTTTAGGGTTTAAGGTTCAGGGTTTAGGGTTTTTAAAACCCGAGCACCGAACCATTACAGCCCGAGGCGCATGGGCTTGCGAGCTGGTGAACGATTTGCACGGTCCTGTTGTTCCACGGGAGACTTCGCCTGCCAGGGCCAGGTCAGAGTTTAGCTCAGGGTGCGCGGAAACTGCGGGTTTTGGCTAGGTGCTATTTAAGGGGGACCTCATGTGCCTCATGCGGTGATACTGAAGTGAAAAGCAGTGAGAGGTCATGAGTCTTGCAAAGGGCAGAGGGCTTGTGCAACAAGCAATCGGCAGAAACAAAAAACACCCTCGACAAGCGCATGCGCCTTTCCAAACCCTTGTTAAACCCTATAAGGCTAAGAGGCTAAGACGTTCAACCTGCAGAGCACTCTCAGCATACCTGCATCATCTTAACGGGCCTCCTGCTGTAACACCAGAGTTGTGGGGAACCCTTCACTGATTTCGGTTTAGGTCTGATACGGTTTTCCAAGTCCTGCACTCTACCTCATGCCTCTGCGTCGCGATAACGAGGACCAGTAATGTAGGGGCCTATATAATTACCTATACTATTGCGGGCACTCCTTATTATAATTATAGTATCGGGGGGGCCGCAAAACCCTACTCTAATTATTAAGGCCTCTATATTACACTAGCAAGCCAAGGACTCGGGTTGATTGGCAGCGGTGGCTTGCTCTGAATTCGTTTACGGAAGCCCTTGCGAAATCCGGCGTAACGCAGGGGCCGCAATAAATAGAATAGGGTTTTGAGACTCATTTCACTACAATTATTATAAAGAACCACCAAAATGGTATAGGTAACTATTCATGCCCCTATATTACGGCCGGGAAGCGCAGTATACCGGGCTTATTTGAAGAGCTTCGGGTTTAGGCCTCCGGCTAATGTGGCGGCGCATATAATAACTTGGGGTCGAATAATGCGTTTTTTCCTTATTC